TGTTACCGTGAATTCTTCTCAAAATTTTTCTATTTTTTTTTTTGCGTAAACAGGCCAAAACCACGAAAGACACGCCATCCTCATCATCATCACAAGGAGTACCAAGACGATCATCAACACCAGAAGTACCAATACCATTATCATCAACAGAAAGTGCAAGGTCTAGCACGGAAATGACTAACAGTATAAACGAAAATAATAGTCCGAGTATGATGGGCCACGTACTCCGCTTCATCGAATTTTTTCGTATGATACTTCATCAGGTGCTTCCGTATGTAAAGAACATGGTTCTAAAGATGATACTTCCGAAGATGATCTCCTAATGAAATCCCCTGTTGATATCACCGTCGATTGCAAACTAATTGTCAAGAATATGTGTGTTAGATCAAAAATGGAGCAATGGCGTCGCTCATCAAGACATGTTGAAGAAATACATAAACAAGAGTATGTACATCTGTTGAATACTCCATTGATATATATATATATACCCTAGATGCTGAAAACTTTTTTTTACAGCCTAATGCGTTATAATATTCTTGATACGGCCAGATCTTCTGCAACAGAAGCACGAAATCTCTTCGGGAAGCATTGGGGTGATATTATTGGAACAATAGAAGAATTTTTAACGTCTAGCCCCGATGCAACATCATTAGCTCCAGAATCTGCTTCCACTTTAGCTTCGATTGACCAAGGACATAGATCAAGATGGAAGGGCAGATGATGTCAAACAATATGTAAAAAGTATATTGAAAAATGTGGTAAGTAGGGAAGGTTAGACTTTGATTTGTTGGTGATTCCTTATATTTATGTTTACTTCATAGAATACCGCGGAAAAATTACGTGATGTAATCAGAATAGAGTGTGAAAAGCTACGGGAAAATGGAAATACAATATGGAGGAAACGGGTTTTAAACTTGATGGAAATATTGCAAGTATCCTGCGTACTTCATATACTGTAATCTGATTTTGTTCTAACATTGAACTACTACTTTGCTATAGCTGGAAACAATTTTCAAATGGCAGAAACCGCCTCAAAGAAAATCAGACAGAAGGACATTACATAATTAAGTTTGTTTCCCATATCTTTACCATGCTATTCGAAGATCAGTTGTTTTTTGACTGTAGGTGGTAAGTTTAAGTCAAATCTAGTGCGTTGAGTAATTACTATTATTTATTAACTTTATTGCTGGCTTGTGTTTCAACAGGGGTGAATCAACCTTGCAATGCTCTGCTGATCAGCTGAACCAATCATTAAGAGACGATGATCGACGATGTACCGGAAATAAGATTGACGCAATTATATCAATGGTGGCGTGTCTTTCGTGGTTTTGGCCTGTTTACGCAAAAAAAAAAATAGAAAAATTTTGAGAAGAATTCACGGTAACA